CAATGAATTCATTGGGCATGTATGATGACATTCATAAGAAATGGTTCATTACATGGACCTTTGATTCAATGTGCCGTGTTTATCTAGAAAGTCTTCAAGCTATACAGTTAATGTCCTGGTCCAAGATGAAATATGAAATAATCATGGAATATGGTAAGTATAAAACCATTGCCTCTGCAAAGAAGGCGCTTTATAACTTAAAGTGCCGTCCAGATCAAAGCCCCAGAGAATTTTTAATAATTCTTAAAAATGCATACTCCGTGGCCCAAAGAAAACCCAGGTATGAAAGCACAGACTTCAAAGATCTGTATTTTCATGCCATGCCGGTAAACATACAAATGAATCTCGCAAGAGATTACGATTGTAAGTTACCATTAGAATGGCTAGTCAGTCAGTGTATGAAGTTGTACACTATACACCATGCACATGACGAAAATCAGCCAAAGGTTAAGAAACCTGGTGATAAAATGGTGTCAGAGACTAAAATTCAGTTAGGTTTAGAAACCCAACAGAAAAAGAGGACCTATTCCGAGGTTTTGAAAACTCCAAAACCTCAGAAACAGGAAAACGCAGGAAGCAATTCTGCAAATTCCTCTAATAACTCTGAAAAATCCAATGCCAATGGGAATAAACGCCCCTGGGTTAATAAGAACCAAGGCAATTCCCAATGGAGAAGGAATCCTCAGGGATATAGGAGATATGGAAACAGAAACAACCAATCTGCTTCCAATAACTCCCAACAGTCTCAGCCATCCCAGCCAAATTCTAATGGGCAAAGACAAAACGGCAATGGGGGAAATAATTTGCGTCGTCAGGTTGGTCAACTGACAGACCAGATGGGCAAATTAATGGAGGGAATGACAAAGATCAACCAAGTCTTTGCCAGAAATCCTTTTTTAGGGATAGCTCCAGTTGCAGAACTACCTGTGCAACCGCAGCAACAACAACAGGTGCCGCAGCAATAATAGCCACTGTGACTAAACAGGCTAGGTTATCAGTAGATGTAATGCCTAACCCTGTTTCCTTTCCAGGTACTAACAGTCAAATAAACAATAGTTGTGTTAGGAAACCTATTGCCTATCCCGTCACTTCACTTCCGGGTGAAGGAGGCGCAACGTGTTCCTCTGTTTTTTCATTTCAGCCAAAGGCTAAAGTAGCCCCAGCAGCCACTAGTTTCCAGGATCCAGACCTGAAAGGGTTAACTGATGAGATGCCGACCACTAGTTCCCGCTTGACAGTTCAAGATATTCCTAAAAAGGATGGGCCTGTGGGTAAGACTGAGCATTCCTCAGTACAGGTAGAAACTACTGCTGTGACCGGTAATGTATGGAAAACAAGTAATATGTTGACACATTCTAAATTCTTATGTGAATTAGAAGAACATGAAGGAAGGTACTACATGTCTGTAGAAATACAGGATTCGCTACCCCAGCCTTTTAAAGGGTTAATAGATACTGGTTCACAAGCCACTATCTTATCCAATACCTACTTCCAGCAGGTAATGGACTTAGCAACGGATAAGCCGAAGCTAAGAGATTTCCCCAATGCTCTGTTGAGTGTAGGAGGAAATGCCCTTCATGTTATTGGCAATACCTGGTTAAAGTTTAAAATAGGTAACAAAACCTTTAGACACCCGGTGATAGTGGTAGATCTCCCCTATGACCGACTGATTCTGGGTATAGACATACTTAGAAGACTTAACACAATTATTGACTGTGTGAATGGAATTGTATGGTCACAAGCTAAGGTTCCCATAACCTATGAGAAATCACATGTTCAATCTGATCGTAACTGCCATGTGATAGAAGAAAGACCTGACTCAATTGAGGTACATTTTAGAAATAGTCAGTCACCTGACGTGACTATCCTGCAGGTGAATGATGCAATCGCACCTGTAGATGAGCATTCCATAAGAATTGCTCCAGAGAGGATCCAGAATGTCTCTCTGGAAGGTGATGTTTTAACCATTTCTCTCCACAGGGACTATGTTGAATCTGTAGATCTGGCAGGTCATGCTCAATTCCTTGCCAGAATTGAAAGGGTTAATAACAACTTATTCTTTCCTATTCAAATAAATGACTTAGGAAGAAGTAGGAATGCAAAGCTGGACTTAAAGAGTGAGAACAGCTATATTAGCAGAAGTCTGTTAAAGCAGATCGCTAATCCTAAAATGATCAGGTATGCTTCCCCAGATGACAGGTGGATCCAGAACCTGGATGGCGAATCAGAGAGTCACAATGTGATAGCAAAATGTTTACTATCTATTTCCATAGGAAATAAGACAGTCAAACATTTATTCCTAGTGATAGACGAACCTCGTTATCAGGTTTACGTTGGCAATGATGTTATACATCGCTTTGCCATACACCTTGACCTGATTAATTCCAATTTATGGACAAGGTTAAAAGGTAATCCTTGTGGATACCTACACGAGGAAAACGCCCTGAAATCAGGACAAATACTCCCATATGCGGTAAGTATCCAAGTTCCTGATGACATAACCATTCCACAGGCGACAAGTAACTTTCTTTTGCCCCTACAGGTCAAGAAGGGTCAGAGATTGGAAAACTCTGATGCCCTAATCTGTTTATCCAACAGGATACAACAATTAGGGATGGTGGTAACACATACACCAATGGTAAGTATTGGTAAGAATCCCACCTATATCATGGTCAACAATGTTACACCCAATAGTGTTACTTTACCAAAAGGAACATTATTAGGTCTAGCATTGGATGCTGAGTACTATACATTTGGTTTCCAAAACCAAATTATAGGCCTCATCCCTGAAGAATACTTAACTGAGGACGAAATTGTCGATCAAATATTCCATTCCTCCCCAGAAGGATTATTCACTATCCTATCTGTATATCCCTTCAACGTTGAAGAAGGCTCGTGTAAAATCGAAGAAGCATCAATTACCTTCGATCATCCGCTCAATGAGCAGGAATCACAAGAGTATCACGACCAAAGAGAAAAGGTAAGTCAACACCGAACTGACCTAACTTCTAGGCTTGAAGAAGCTTATGAGATAGGCCAGCCTGAAATCTTTCCAGGATTTCAGGAAAGGCTAGAAGAGCAAATATCTTTAGCTGACGGTTGCTCCAACGATGCTGAGCGGCAACAGCTAAAGGAAATCCTTTTGGAATTCCAAGATATTTTTGCCAAAGATTCCTACGACTGTGGGTTAACTAACCTCCACGTAGCCAGAATACAAACTGATCCAAATTTACCACCTGTATTTATCAAACAATATAGACTCCCATTAGCGTCATATGATGGTCTACAAGACATCATTTAGAATTTAAAGGAAAGGGGCATTATACGTCCAGTGCACAGTTCGTATAATAATCCGATCTTGGGGATTCTGAAACCTAATGGACAATGGCGTTTATGCGCTGACTTACGACAGCTAAATAAACGCGTCTATATGTCTGGTTGGCCAACGCCATACATAGACCAATGTTTGGTACAAATGCAGGGATCCAAAATATTCACTGCCATTGACTGTGCGCAGGGATATTGGACTGTACCAGTCCATAATGAAGACCAATACAAATTGGCCTTCACATTTGGAAAGCAGCAGTATACCTGGACCCGTATGCCTTTCGGTTATATAAACTCTGGTCATGAATTCGCTGTGTTCATGCATAAAGCTATGCCTGACGCACTCGAGAGAGGAACGTTATCATATGTCGACGATGTCTTGCTGAAAAGCACTTCCTTTGATAAGCATATCTTAGAGATTAGACATGTTCTCACTCAGTTAAGAGAGGCAGGGATTAAACTGTCTTTACAAAAGGCACAATGGTGTCGCACCCATGTCAATTTCCTTGGACATGAGGTAACTTCTGAAGGATTAAATCCCCAGAGGAAGAAGGTTGAAGCCGTACTAAAAGCTAAAACACCTTCAAACATCAGGGAATTAAGATCGTTCCTTGGTATGACTAACTACTCCCGTAAGTTTATAGATAACTATGCAGAAATAACTAAACCACTCTTACACCTGCTTAAAAAGGAAACTACCTGGAACTGGGGGGAGCCTCAGGACCAAGCGGTAAGTGAACTGAGGAGGAAGCTCACTCAGGCACCCTGTTTAGCATACCCAGAGGGGGGTAAACCCTTCTATCTGGAGACAGGATATACCGATTTAAGCATAAGTGCTGTTCTGTATCAGAAGCAGGACAGTTTAAACAAAGTTATTGCATATGCTAGCAAGACTTTGTCACCTGTTGAAGTTAAATTCAACACGTGTGAGAAGGCGTTATTGTCGACTGTCTGGGCACTACAAAATTTTCGTAGCTATATTCAAGGTGAGAAAATAATTGTAGAAACAGCTCACCAACCTCTACAGTATCTGCAGAGTGAAAGAATTAGAGACGGTAATCTCTCTAACAGTCGGATTACTGCATGGACTCTATCCTTACAGGGATGGCCGTTAGAAGTCCGTTATAAACATAATAAGAGAAGCCCAGTTGCCCAAGGTTTAGCAGAATTACATGACTGTACTGCTCCATCTCTGGATGATAATGACACCGGAGATGACTTCCTAGAAGAGCAATTGCTATCTCCCTATAAAGTTTATGACGAGGAATACTGTCGACCACTACCGAGGGTATACATTGATGGTTGTTCATATCACCACGCTGCTGGTGCTGAACGGAAGTTAGTTGCAGGTATCGGAATCGCCTGGACAGGTGATTATCCTAATGTATCTATAGGATACAATATTGGTCCCAAAAGCAGTCAGATAGCCGAACTCTGTGCAGTATATAAGACCATTCAAATGGCAATAGAATATGGTATCAAAGAATTTGTTATTATAACTGATTCTAACTATGTTCGCAACAGTTTCGTCGAATATCTGCCTAGCTGGAAATGTAACCAAATGCTGAAAAGCAATAACAAACCTGTTAAACATGGGAAATTGTTTTGTAAAATCGATGAACTGGTTAAGGTAAATGGTTTATCCATATATTGGAAGAAAACCAAAGGCCATTCTAAAATAGAAGGTATTGACAAGGATGGTAATGACTTAGCTGATTCACTGGCAAAACAAGCTGCCATCAATGGTGAAACCCTAAACATTGATGATCTTATGGGTTCAATTCATGTTGAAGCCATAACAAGACGACAGGCTAGAGATAATGCCGACTTAAATGTCGTGCAATGGAGTCAAGAAGCTCCTAGTGAGGACCTGATTACTAGTCAAAAGAATGATCCCGTCATAGGCATATTCTATAAACATATAGAAGACCCTACTGCCAATCCCATCACAGATGAGGATTGCAAAGATAATGAAGATTTACGAATCTTGATGAGATATAAAGTCCAATTTAGTATCATGGATGGGTTACTGGTCAGAACTTCTAAACATGGTATACAACAATGGGTAGTCCCAACTGTATACAGAGGGTTAATGCTCCAACACGCACATGATGCACCTACATCTGGGCATCGTGGTGATAAGATCACATATGAGATATTGCGTGATTATGCATATTGGCCACACATGTTAAGGGATGTTAAGACATACTGTCAGGGATGCTTGATTTGTCCGCAATATCAACCCCATGGTCCAACCCATCGTGCACCACTTCAGAAGAGGGGGGTGTCATTACCCTGGTCTGATATTCAAATTGACTTTATAGGTCCTGTAACAAGATCTTCAAGAGGTAACAAATACATGTTAACTGTTACATGTATGTACACAAAGTGGATAGAATGTTTGCCTTGTAAAGAGAACACGAGTACCGTGTGCGCCACTTTGTTGATTAACCATGTCTTTTCCAGGTTCGGTCTGCCTCAAAGAATTGAGTCAGACAGAGGTAGTCATTTTACCAGCGAAGTAATGGCTAAGATGTGGAACATTCTAGGTGTTAAACGAAAGCTACATATTGCATACCGCGCTGCGTCTAGCGGGGGGGTAGAGCGATATAACCAGTCTATCGTTAATATTCTGAAGAAGTATGTTAAGGAGTCTGGTAAAGACTGGGACATTAAATTGCCCCTAATGGCGATTAGAGCCACACCTAGCACTGCTACCAAATTGTCACCTTTTGAATTGATGACAGGAAGAAAGATGGTTTTACCACAGCATTTACTATATCGTACTTCGGATCATAATTTGATCAATGCTGCCACTACGCATCAGTATATCGAAGATTTGCGCAAGCATTTACAGCATGCATTTGCTTTTGCTCAAAAGAATCTAGAAAAAGCAGCGACAGGGGTTAAGACCTATTACGATCTAAAAACCACGAAAAAGGAATATGAGATAACAGATCAAGTCTATCTGTATAACTTTGCGCGAAATCAAGTTAAGGAAAAGAAATTTTTACCTTCTTGGAAAGGGCCATATGTCATCATTGACAAAATTTCCCCAGTAGCGTATAAGATAAAAATTCCTAAGGATGGTGATTTTATTGAAAAGTGGGTTCACATTAACCAGTTGTGTGCTTGTCATCCTAAATCTCAATTAAGGATTATAGGTGTGGATTCAGACGCAGAAGGGTGAACGACTAACCTGGATGAATGCTTGATTCACGTGGTATAGTATGATGTGAATTGTTGTGATGTGCCATGATCTCATGTACGTTCATGTCATTAACCATTTCCTTGCCATCCAATAACTACATTTTATAAGCAGGTTACTAGCTTGTTTAACTGCTATAGGCAAATTGCTGAAGAGTCAGTAATAAATGTAGTGAGGGATGAAGTTATAAAAATAGAATTAGAGAGAATACATATGTTGATGAATCGTAATAATGTGTTGTCCTAGGCCAAGTGATGTCACACTGTTATAAGTTTGTATGCTTAACAAACCTTGAATCATTAGTAGATAAGTCTGAAACGAGTTCCTGATCCGTGACTGTCGAAAGATGTCCAAGAAGGATGTGGCGTGTTTCTGGATCGTACTGCTCCTGTGCCAAGAGCTACGGACCGACCCGATCGCAGAGATGGGACCATCCTCCGGCATCCTGATTCAAGAGACACCAGGGTTCATCTTAACGGAGAAGAGGATCCTGACCCGACGTGTGTTCGTCAGCTTGGACCCCAAGATTTCCATCGAGAAGGCATACAACATTTCATCGATGCAGCTTCCTGAGTTACAGACTTGGTACCAGATGCACCTCCAAAGAGCACAGGACCGTGTGCGAAACATCTTGGAGCAAGCCCGGAAACCATTTGTATCCAGTTCTATTCCGATGAGCAACCGACCCAAAAGGTTCCTCACCGCTATAATTGTTGCATTAGTTTGTGCCACTGTCGGTGCAGTTGTCGCAACTGGAATGTCTGCAGCCAACTCTATTACTGTCCAAAAGCTGGATATGGAAATCTATGCGCTAAAGCAACACATTAACGATATTCATCAGGTGATAAACCAGCAAAGAACACTTCTCCAAGACGTGTTAACTATTGTGGAAGACACAGTTGTTACAACAAATTTGCATTCGGAGTTAATTGCCAAATCCACTGAGTTGCACCAAAGTCATGACTTATTTAAGCGTGAACTTCTATTTCTGCATGACCCAATATTGTTCCACACACTTGCTTTTCTTGACGAAGTGCAAACTGGAATGATCGAATTGGCAGGGGGACGCATACCTCTGTATTTTGTATCCAAGGATATTGTTCATGCAATGCTTGCCAATGTGGATGGAGAGACAATTGAGCCTATGCAATTAAATCTGGCCTTTGAGATGGGGAGCGCTATACCTCTCTTAATTAATCCGGAACGTATGGAGATTTGCTTTTTATTGGCCATACCATATGTAACTCACAAAGACATTTTTCAAATGAAAACAATGTACTATGTTAGAAATGATGTGATTGCACAATATGTCTGGTAACTTCCATAGTGCTTATTCATAAGCTAAATTAATTTTGGCTATGAAATGCACTAAAGGGGGGTTATGTCAGGGTATTTATATCGGCAGACATTTTGTGCTATGATAGAAACTAAAAGTGTATATTCTGAGTCACTCTGAACAGACCAGACTCCATTTTGTTATTTCAAGTTAACAAAAAGACACTGGATTTCTTTCTGTAAGACTGTACTCTTTGCCAGAGCTAAGGAATGCCTAGCATAGTATAAACAAGTGATAAGAAGAATATAATCAAATCTAAACCCAGACAATTGTGACAGAGAAGATTAAATAATAAAATTTAACTGTCAATATATATAAGGTACCATTGTATGGAAAAGGGTAAACTTAGTTCATGATCTGTCATATCAGAAATTATAGCAGATTTGCAGACACATAGTCTGGACAAAATTTAAGAAACCCTTTGAAATTTTAAGTTATAGCCACTATCTAGATAGGCCAAAATGACGTCAAAATAGCCACCAGGAAAAGTTAACTCTTTCCTGGATAGGTATGTTTAGTGGGACAAGACTGCCCTCTATAGACCAAATACCTAATTTGCGATCTGGAAGATAACCACACCTCTAGTGCTTCTATTGGGTTATCAACTGATGACGTACAGAGAGTCTGGCCCTTTAAAAGTTAAGACAAAGGGAAGATAGGGATAAGGGGGCAGATCCAAGAGATATGCAAAGGAGAGGAGAGAGGAATTGGAAGTTTGGGGACTCCAACTCGGACAACATCTGAGACTAACACTCTACTCCTAAAACTCTAACACTTAGAATTTACTGACTTTCACCAACATCCATGCAGAGAGACATCCAAATAAGTTCCTGAGACTACCAATCGGATGAAATATCTACTCAACTGGTAATTATACTGGTTTCATTTAATTAAATTAAATTAATTAAAATGTATTAATAGCATTATATATGACTGGATAAAGCACGGTCAGATTTCCATATTAAGAAATCTTAGTTAACTAAGAATATATAGTTATAAACATTCCATTCTGCAGGTGGAATTAAGAATAATTATATATTGATGTGATATTATCACGTGTTAGCATACCGCTGTTTTTATCCAGGTGTATTGATTTGCTCTAAATTAAGATAGATATCTTTTAGACAAATTAAAAATCTGCTTATATAATATATTAGATTCTCTTATTGGATGGTTTAAGAAAATGACTAGTGAACTGGGTTAAATGTTATTTTATTTAAAAATACATAAGAATAGATCTTAACTACCTAGGAGATCTAGCCAGCATTGAAAGGGTTATTCTAACTGTCTGCTAAACTTTACGACCTTACGCTGCACTCTGAGGAATTCTGTTCTTGGCTGTGAAAAGTTTCACTTAAGTCTGTGTTAAGGATACCTCATAAATCGTCAGAATTCTTGACAGATAATGCCGTTTAGCCATTGAAACGTAATACCCATTTCTTTGTAATGCATATCATTTTATACTGGATATTCATTGATTATTGTCATGCATGTTGCATAATATTATTATTAATTAATTTGTCATATAAATAAAATCTATTTTTATACATTGTGATATTAATTATATGAAATACATTCCACTTAACACGATAAACGTTCTTTGGGATCTGAGAATTTAATTAGTGGGCAATTCTCACTGTTACCATTATTATCCCATAAATATCCCCACACTACACTGGCTGGGGATTAGCATTTTTGCACCCCCCTGCTCTGGCTCCCTAAGACGGCCGCCTGTGCTGCCTTATGGACGCGCAAGCCCTGGTTTTATGGAGTACACTATTGTAGCGGACCACGGGTAACCCGACCCATTACCGCCACAAATTCCTTCCTTCAGCCAGTCAGAAACCCTTTTACCCAGAGACCCATTTTCATCCCACCAGTAACTGGACGACACACACTCCTTGAGGTACAACACAATTTTATTGGCCAGACATAGCTTTTATGCATAACCCCCTGCAAGGGGTGTACCACACAAACATACAAGGACACATCCCAAGATCCTCCCCCTCCCTGGGGTCCCAGTGCGGGAAGGGACTTTGCTCCCTTTGTCCCAAAGCCACCACTAAATCCACAGGGTTCCCCACACCAACCGCCAGGGGTCTTGTTACCAGGAGTCTCCTGTGCCTGGGAGTCTAGGCGCGCTTTGTCTCCCAGGCACAGAGAAACCTGCCCATGGGAAAAGAGCTGGTCTCTTTGTCCCTAAGGCTCATGAAAGCCCGCCAAACTTGCCAGTGCCCCAAAAGTGCCCACACCAATCTCAGGGACCCTCGCCTTGGTCCCTCGATTAACTAGTCTCCGTTCGCGAGGTCCTGGTGTGAAACCCAGACAAGGGAAGAGTCTTCTTTTGGGGTATGAATGTTCCCCCTTGCCAGCGTTCGTCTATACGAATGGCGGCCACCCAAGGAACCACTCATTATTTACTTCCCTTGCAGCTCCACACCTAGGTTGCGAGTGTGAACGTTCTGATTAACTGGTGTGAACGTTCTAACGGGGCACTGAGGAGGTCCTCGTTTCGGAGATGAACAATCCATGAATGCTCCCCCTGGTGACGTTCACCTGTACAAATGTACCCAGGGAAGCTCTCATTAATTGTTACCATTGCGGTTCGCGGTTTTGACACTTATGTTGCGAGGTGTGAACATTCTAACCTAACATTCTAAATGAGGTATTGAGGTGGTCCCCATTCGGGAGGTGAATGAATTCCCTTTGAGGAAGCACTCCTGAATGGAAAATGGGAACAATAAACGAAAATACAAAGGAAACACAGGTAAAAGAGAAGGGAATCCCACGAAAAGGCAACGGTTCCGCCACACAGTTCTCCCTTAACCACAAGCCGGCATACACAGTCTAATCCCAACGGATCAGCTTAGGGATGTCCGGGGGAGTACTCACAGATCACTTTTCCTGGGCCGTCTGTCTTGACAACCTGTCAGTGTTTCCATTTTGCTTACCGAGTTTGTAGTGAATAGTGCAGTCATATGGCTGCAGGGCCGGTTGAGCCACACCAACGGGTTGTGATCTGTGAGCAAGGTGAATTGTTGTCCATAGAGGTAGGGCTGCAGTTTCTTGAGTGGTTCCACCACAACCAGGAACTCCTTTTCAATGGCGGCATAGCTCACCTCCCAGGGTAGTAGATTCCTGCTGAGGTAAGCCACAGAGAGGCATATGTGTGGATGAAAAAATGTTTTTCAGATTAGGAGCAGCCAGGAAAGGGACATTTACCAGGGCTTGGAACTCCTGCTCACACTCTGGGGTCCAGTCTACCGGTCTTACAGGTCAAGTCAGTGATGGGCTTAGCTAGGGTGCTGTCGTTGGGGACCAACTTCCTATAGTAGCCAGCAGTCCCTAGGAAGGCCATGTGTGGGGATGGGGCCAACTGGCTACTGCCTCAACCTTGGCTAGCTCGGGTTTCTGTGAACCACACCCTACCCGGTGCCCTAGGTACTGTACTTCTGCCATCCCTAGGTGGCCCTTACTGGGTTTAAGAGTAAATCCCGCCTCCCTAATCCTGTCTAGCACAGCTCCTACATGTACCAGATGCTCCTCCCAAGTGTCACTGTAGTTAGCGATGCCGTCCAGGTATGCACAGGCATGCCCTCCAACAGCCGGTACACTATCCTCTGGAAAGTGGCCGGGGTATTCTTCATCCCAAATGGCACAGACCAAATGGGGTGATGAATGCTGACTTGGGAATAGTGCCTGATGCTAGGGAAATCTGCCAGCACCCCTTGCACAGATCTATCATGGTGAGGTACTGGCCATGGGCCATCCTCTCCAGCAGCTTGTCTATATGGGGCCTGGGGTACGCATGGGGTACGCATCCGATAACCTCATGGCTCCGTCTTGTTTCGGGACCAGTACTACTGGGGATGCCCAAAGACTCTTGGACGCCTCGAATCTTGGATCACCTGATTCTCCCACACCGACTCTGGTACTCTGTATGGAGTCTGCCACAGAGGTTGTTGGTTTGGGGTCTCTACCCAGTGGGTGGCCAGTGAGGTATACCCGGTCAGGAAAGTGTCTGCTGGGCCTGTCTGCATTCCTCCTCCCCCAAATGGACGCTGCCTGAGCTCCATCCTCCAGGGGGTCCTCCAGGAGAAGATTATCGAAATCTTCTGAGGTTGGAGCACATATTATGGCTACATCCTCTGTCCGCTCGAGGTAGAGCTTCAGAATGTTAAAATGTAATAGGCATCTAACCCTGGGACCCGAGCGAGGAGGGCCTGAGTTTTTGGAGGGCCTGTTTGCCAGCCTCCTGACTATGGCTACTGTTATAAAACTTATCACTGTTCGTGCCTTTTTGGATTTTTATGGCCACAGTTCACATTTTCGAAGTGGCACTTCAAACTCCTGAACAGTCGAAGTGGCTGCCATTGGACATTTGAACATGTGGTGGCGGCCATCTTGTTCTCATGGACCAAAACCACGAATTGACTCAGGGACCAAAACCACGAATAGACTTAGCCGCGAATGCCCTGGAACTATTTTCAGCCTGAAAACCTTGTGGTTCCCGGTCAGTCCTCCAGTGGCACTTAGCCGCAATTCTATGGAACTGTTTTGGGCATGGGACTATGCCTGCAATACTATGATTTCCATAGAATTTCTGAACCCCTGATCTGATCTGGGTGAACAACATATCCAAAAATCACCCAGATCAGATCAGGGGTTCAGAAATTTTCTATCGGGGCTATCAGGGAATGTAACTGATATGGGGATTTGTTGTGTTTTGGGGTACTTATGGAACTTTATAAAAAAAAAAAAATGTCTGCCTGGAGATAATTAAGTTAATGCATTATCTGCCTTAATTATCTCCCAGGCCGAGGGGAGGAATTGTGTATATTGTATGGGAGTGTCTCACTGTATAACTCTGTTTTTATTGGTTTGTTAACTTTGTGTCCCTGTGCCCAACAAGGTCCACGTGGGTGTCACCCTTGTTGGGAAACTTGCATAAAAGGCCAGTGTGCCTCCATTAAATTTGAGTTCCTGCTTACCCTCAACATTGGCAGACTTCAATGGGGTTTGGGTTCGGGGTCAAGTTCGAGCCCGAACCCGGACTTTTTTTCAAAAGTTCGGCTGAACCCGCCGGACCCGAACATCCAGGTATCCGCTCAACTCTACTGGTAAGTACTCTCAGTATAATATAGTACAGGTTGCTTACAGGATTATGCAGAGTTGCAGTAGTTGAGACAGGTAAGTAGATTCCAGTATAATGTAATACAGGTTGCTTACAGTATCATGTAGTGTTGAAGCAGTTAAGTATCTTCAATATGGTAGATTAAGCAGGTAAGTCTCTTCAGATTGAAATAATGCAGATAAATACAGGATGTTTTCAGGAGCCATGATCAGAAGTTCTATGTCAGAACACTGATTTCAATGTAAAGGCCATGTGAAGAGTTGGGTGTGGCCTTTTATAGCAGACTTGGACGATCATATGAGGCAGGTGAGAGCAACTGAGGATTGACTAGTGGCTAGGGAGGCCACTAGAGGCAAGAAACAGGTATTGCAGAAATAAAATAAAACAATATCTTGGTTGTCAGGATAGTATCCTGACATTAACAGTGACAAAAGAACTCACGTTCACAAGTAAGCTTACTCAACACATAAGCAGATTGCTTTGTGTTGACCTGAAATTTCATGTCCCCTACTATCCACAATCCTCAGGGAATGTAGAAGGAACAAACAGGACCATTAAAGATAAGTTGAGGAAGGAAAACCAATGGTACATTTCATAATTGGCCTGACCACCTGTCAGCAGTATTAGCAGAAATCAGGGTAACTCCCCAAAAATAACTGGGTTGTCCCCTTTCGGAAAACTGATGGGTAGACCATTTCCCAACCCTTGGGCTAGTAAGGGACCACAGGGAATGATAGAGCAAGTGAAGGTTGCTATGTTAGAATATGTTGCCAACCTAGTCAACAAGTTGAGTGGCATTTATGGTGATGTTTCTCAGTCTCTCCCACTTACAGAACCCACAATCAGGACTTGTATAGACCAAGTCCTGATAAGACAGTTGAGAAAGCTCAGAGCCACTGACTCGCCCTTCGATCCATCCTCTACTGTTGTTGCTGTTACTAAGAAGCCTGTCCTGACCGACAAGTAGAGTAAAGAAAGTGTCCATGCGAGCAGAGCAAAGAAAGTGTCTGGCAATTCTGGCAAAGAAGAACTGACCAAGATGGAGATGGACTTGTGCTCATCATCAGAGCCAAAAAAGAACCAAGATCTAATTAGCAATGGGATACTATAAACCATTCCTCTTAGTTGTTGCCATACCCGTTACATTTATATGCTATTTCACATATCTTATGACTAATCTCTCTCTGTTGAAAATTACAATTAAGTTAGCCAAAGACATACAGCCCTCAACACCCACTAAGGAGGGAGTTTTGCCTGCAGTAGGAGCCCAGGCTTACTCTACTACGAAACAAGCCCTCACGGCTTCAAAAAAAACAAAAAACACTGCACCTTTATGACTTACAAAATTAATTAAATTAGGGTGAAGAGAGAGTTCTGTATGTTCTCAAGGGAAAAAGATAATATGTTTATACAGGGTACCATGATAGTTTTCAATGGTACTAATAAAACACAAGCTGGGTATTCACTCGGGTACCTCATAGTTTGAAACATGCTTATCCTTTTGAAGGGGTCCCACTAAATGAGACAGGATTGGCAGAATTAAACAGGGCCAGATGTGGAACATTACTAAAGCTAATCATACTAATGAACTTGACAGTATTCACTTGGCCAAAGAGTAGTACTTTCCCCTCTGAAACTCATATGATTTTCTGGTTTAGCAATCCAAATTAAATATATGGTACAAAGTGTGGCAAAAGTAACCTCGACACTGGTTTTTGGAGGGGCCTGTTTGCCCACCTACTACCTTCTGACTATGGTCCCTGGGAGATTGTGCCTTTTAACAACAGTCTTGGGGCTTATGGACTTCTATTGGACTGTGTATGGCCCTTGCTAAACTTTAACCACATGGCGATTTTATTCTGTTCGTGGGATCTCAGCGCTGTTCGGATATATTGAGCGCTCAGATCCAAGCTATCTGGGGATAGGTTGAATGTGGGGGTTCTGTTCAGTATAAAAGGAATGATGTATTGTTATGTGTTTTTATTTCAGTATGCTGGAGATAATTGGCTTACCACACCCAAGCCATGCTTGCAGTCGGTCAAAAAGGGACTTCCAACTAACTTTTGAATCACTGGACCAATTTGTATGATTTTGACATATGTATTTGGAGTACCAAGGCTGTAATAAAGGGGTGATTTCAAAAGGTGGTTCTCTCCTTGATATACACATATTTTTAAGTTGTTAAAAAGTTTTTAAGTTTTCTATAAGATTCTAATATATGTTTTTTCTCCTCTCTCCCTAATGGATTCTTTGTTTGAAACACCTGTATAAATGTATGCTATAATGGGGATTGGGACCTAATGAGTATTTATTGTATAGATTACAATGTGCCATATAATGATTTTTTAATATATGTTCATCTTATTTTATATGTATATTTGTTTTTTAATATAATGGAATATGCCTTAAGAATATCATGATAGAGTCAGTTATTTAATGTTTAGTTTAATCATATGGAGTTTTTATGAGAATGTTGAAATTATGTAGAGAACATGCAGTTTACCCATCTTGGACATTTGGGAACTCATATTTAGTGAGGGCAAAGGCAATAGGATCGGAGGACGATCCGTCCCTTAGTATATATGTCACGACGTTATGATGAAGATAGCGTTGTGTCGTCATGAAAGGAAGACGGAAGCTGCAAGGGTGCACGTCGAAATGGAGGATGCGGCTACGTTGCCGGAAATTAAAACGGAAGTTTGATGACCTCATGGCGGATGGAAAAAGGCGCCAAATTTGAAGATATTTAAACCATCAGAAGGAAAGGTGAAGGTTGGACTTTTGATAAAGGCTTTGCCGAAACGTGTTAAGTCTGATTCATGCACAAGTGGACTTTACAGATATAACAATTATATTTTATTTAGTTTTTATCCAGCTGCCTTAAAGTGTGTCTAATAAATTGTTTGTAATATTTCCTGTATCCTGGAATATTTTAAAGCAACAACACTTTGAAGGACCACAGAGGGGAAACAGCTTGAAGTCTGATAACCACGTGCATTCACCTGATATACGTCTAGTCTGAGCCAGCTTTTACTAAGTGGCTCAAGACCATGATTGTTTAAAGCATTGATATACCAAACTGTTTAATAAGGGTAATGTGCAATTTTAATTAAGAGTGCTCTCACCATCTTCTTTTTTTTACTGTATTTGGAGTATGCTGATTCTGAAAATGTAAGTCTTATGTGAATGTGATGTATACTTTTAAAGTTATGAATATTGTGTAAAACTGTGTATTTTCCTGCCTGTGATAATTACATTAGTCCATTGTGTTCAGTAATGATATCACAGGCAGAGGGGAGGATTTTGCTGTAATGACTGGGTGTGTCAGACATTGTTGTATTGTTTTGATTGGTTTGTGTCATTTGTGTTTCAGTGTTCCATCAGGTCCAGGGGGTGTGCCTCTGGCCTGAGGAATTGTATAAATTGTGAGTGCTTGCTTCCATTAAACAGTTCTACTTTACCCTCAATTTGGAGTGCCGTCTCTTATTGGGGGAATCTGCTACAAGGGATTGCTATGCTAGTCATACTCTCTTGCTACATCACTACTAGGCTCTTGTAAGAGCTTGTTCCTGTCTTGCTCTCTGAAGGAGTCTACGGTGGTTATGGTGTTAGCTGGAGTGCTTGGAGCCCTCACAAAGCGCTAGGAGCATTTATCAACGGAGGTACCCAGTCAGGGTGCCAGGTGATCCGTTACACAAAGTATATTGTTGAATCACATACTTGGATCACATACTTTTCTCCCCTATCTTGAGGAACAGGACCTGTCCAGGTGGTGATGAAGAAAGAACCCCAGAGAGGATAATACATCAATGGTTCTGTGTGCAGAACCAATCTCTCCTTACTCTAGCAGGATCTGATGGTTTTCCACTTTGCTCTGTCCCCTAGACCTACAGACACCTATATATCTCTAGATAACGGCTATAACGGCTATTTTTCCTCCTTGATGATGAGTATCGTTGGCCCCAATGTCCCCCAAACACACCATTTCAATTAGGATATTGTTAGCTATGTTGTAGGTGGGCTACTAAAATTATTCCATTTACCTATAAGGAACCTTCTTTCCTAGGAACAGTTGCCCTTGCTATGTATGTTATAAGCAATCTGCCAGAGGGCAGAATTAAGAGGACCATTAACCTACCTTATCTAAAAAGAATGTTTCCACTAGTCTATCCACCACTTTACCAGCTAGCCTATTGTGGTTGTGGGGATTCTTAGCATATATAAGAAAATTAATAATGTAGTCCTTTATCTAGATATAGCCTTTAATGTCACAGGCTATAAGATTAGCTGAAGAACAGGAACAGATTAGGGTGGTAGTCCTCCAAAACTGAATGGCCCTTTACTACTTATTAGCTGTGCATGGAGAGAAATGTCAGGTAGTCAGGGACCAATGTTGTAACCTATATTGGGTTATACACAATGATTTGAAAGTTCTTAGTGAGCAAGTCCTGTGAGCAAGATAAATGTTCAACATTTAAAAAGTTATGCACTTCGGCGTAAAGAATGCACAAGCAACGTATACACTTAATGGAAGCGAATTCAGGATAACAACACACAATAAGGACTTGGGGATTGTAATTGACAATAAACTATGGAACAATGTCAATCAGCAGTGGCTAAGGCCAGTAAGGTATTGTCATGCATGAAAAAGGGCATTCATTCTCGGGATGAGAATATACTTTTGCCTCTTTATAAATCACTGGTAAGACCACATATTGAATATGCTGTGCAATTTTGGGCACCTGTTCTAAAGAAGGATATTATGGCACTAGAAAAAGTGCAAAGGCGGTCTACAAAATTAATAAAAGGAATGGAATATATCAGATATGAAGAAAGGTTTAAAAATTTTAACCTCTTTAGTTTAGAAAAACATCACCTGAGAGGGGATATGATAACATTATACAAATATATTCGAGGCCAATACAAACCATTGTGTGGAAATCTATTCACAAACCGGACCTGCATAGGAAACAAGGTAATGCGTTTAGACTGGAAGAAAGAAGATTTCTTCTAAGGCAAAGGAAAGGGTTTTTTTTAACTGTAAGAACAATAAGAAGTGGTTTTATCAGAGTCCATACAGATGTTCAAACAGCAACTAGATGCATACTTGCAAAAACAGAATATTCAAACATATAATTTTTCAATGTAGGGTAATAGCTGCTTGATTCAAGGATAACTCTGACTGCCATTCTGGGGTCAAGAAGGAATTTTTTTCCTAGTTTGTTGCAAAATCGGAAGTGCTTCAAACTGTTTTTTTTTTGTTTTTGCCTTCTTTTGCATCAACAGCAAAAAACAAATGTGAGGAAGGCTGAACTTGATGGGCACATGTCTCTTTTCAGCCTATTTAAATGTATGTAACTATGTAATAATTCATTTTATTCTTTGCGAGTCTATCCATGAATATTCAATATTATTAACATAGGTACTTTTTCAATATCATTAAACATATAGAATTATAGTTAGTGGATAGATTATATATATATATATATGTATATATATATATATATATATATATATATGTATATATATATATATATATATATATATATATATATATATATATATATATATATATATATATATATATATATATATATATATATATATATATATATATTTACAGTTGCAAGAAAAAGTATGTGAACCGTTTGGAATGATATGGATTTCTGCACAAATTGGTCATAAAATGTGATCTGATCATCATCTAAGTCACAACAATAGACAATCACAGTCTGTTTAAACTAATAACACACAAAGAATGAAAAGTTGCCATGTTTTTATTGAACACACCATGTAAACATTCACAGTGCAGGTGGAAAAAGTATGTGAACCCCTAGACTAATGACATCTCCAAGAGCTAATTGGAGTGAGATGTCAGCCAACTGGAGTCCAATCAATGAGATGAGATTGGAGGTGTTGGTTACAGCTGCCCTGCCCTATAAAAAACACACACCAGTTCTGGGTTTGCTTTTCACAAGAAGCATTGAATGATGTGAATGATGCCTCGCACAAAAGAGCTCTCAGAAGACCTACAATTAAGAATTGTTGACTTGCATAAATCTGGAAAGGGTTATAAAAGTATCTCCAAAAGCCTTGCTGTTCATCAGTCCACGGTAAGACAAATTGTCAGGTATACCTAACATTCATGCTGCCGCCGGAACCCACTTCCGGGTTCACGGCGCTTAGCTCCGCCCTTTTTTCTGACGCGGTCTTTCCACGATACTTAGGAAGACCGCGCCAGATTCAAAGGGCTGGATTATTCACTCAGGTGCGGCAGTAAGATCAGCTGCTCTACTCGATGCTACCGGCTCCTCTCTCAGACCTCGGGTTGTAAACGGATTTCTACCTTCTCATCTCTCAGACCTCGGCTTGTAAACGGATTTCTACCTTCTCATCTCTCAGACCTCGGCTTATAAACGGAATTCTGCCTTCTCCTCTCCCAGACCTCGGCTTGTAAACGGATTTCTACCTTCTCATCTCTCAGACCTCGGCTTGGACAAACGGACTTCCTTTCTCTCACTACTAAACTGCAGTTGTTAAAAGAGACTCCTTCCTCTTCCTCCATTGGGTGAATTAACCCTTCCAGTGCCAGAGTGCTTCTAAGTTAAGTAAATCTTTTGTCAAGGAAAGCAAGTCATATAAATTTATTATAGTATTTATTTCCTTTAAACTCTCTGTTGACAAATAAGCATTGCATTTTTCCTTGCATGTGTATTTAAAGATACAGTCTACCTTGTTCACTTCAATAAAATAAAGGAGGTGAAACTTATTGTTTCTGCAGTTGAGTTCCAATTAAAGAGACATTACACAAAAGCATCACAGAATAATCCAGCCTCATTAATGGAACCAGCAGATATTAACTCTCAAGTTTCTGCCCTAACCAATAGAGTAGATACAATTGCTCAAGGGTTACAGGAATTGCAAATTACAAATGAGAGAATATTAACCTATGTTAGAGACATGCAAGGCCATCTTCCTCATGCCGCTCTTCAATCGGCTGGTGATCCTGCTGTCTGTAATCCAGACAAATTTTATGGAGATAGAACAAAGTACAGAGAGTTTTTAAATTCTTGCAAACTTCTGATAGCTTTGAAACCTCGATCTTACCTCACTGAAAGGTCAAAAGTTTGTTCAGTAATTTCCTTTCTAAGAGGTGAACCTATGGCTTGGGCCCATTCCTTTTTAGAGAATGATGATCCCATACTAGATTCACTGGATGAATTTTTTGAAGCTATGTCTTTATTATATGAAGATCCATATAAACAGGCTACTGCTGATTTAAACATCAGAACTCTCCACCAAAAGAACAGACCTGTTGAAGATTACATCGCCGAATTTAAAAGATGGGCTACAGAAACCCAATGGAATGACATTACACTACGCAATCAATACCGTCTCGGATTATCAGAAGCTGTGAAAGATGAACTCTCTCGTACTGAACTTCCTCCCACCTTAAATGCATTGATTCAACTTTCCATTAGTATTGACAGACGTCTAAGAGAAAGAAGGGCTGAAAAAGTTCTTACTACTTCTAATTGGAGAAAACATTTTACTACTCCAAAATTTCCTGAAAAATCTCTTCCTCACAATGAACCTATGGAAGTTGGTATAATAAGAAGCCCTCTTACTTCGGAAGAAAGGATAAGAAGGAGACAACTAAATTTGTGCATGTATTGTGCTTCAAAAGAACATCTAATCCCAGAATGTCCCCT